TGGGAAATGGCTGGCCCTAGGGAAGGGCAGGAGAGGCACTGAGGGGCTGGAGAACAACCTAACCGATTTCTGAGTATCTCGGCTGAATGAATTGTTTTAGAAATCCAATCACAGAAATGCAAATGGGTGGTTCTCACATAGTTTCCTTACAGCAGTGGGACCCTTTCTTTAAACAAAAGCTTTTAAGGGTGCCAACAGGTGAAACATTTAATACGGTCTCTCATGATGAGAGTCGGGGTATGGGGGGGCCCGATTGCTGGGGCCTCAGAGGACCCCAGAGCCCATCACAGCCCCCAGGGAGAGCGTCCCCGCACCTATCACTGATCCCAGGATGGGTGCCCCCCAAGCATATGACAGACCCCGCGTGGGCACCCCCAGAGCACATTATGACCCCCAGGGAGGGCATCCCCAAGCATATCACAGACCCCAGGGTGGGTGCCCCCAGAGTGCATCACAGCCCCTGGGGAGGGCGTCCCCAGCATCTCATGGACCCCAGGGTGGGCACCCCCAGAATGCATCACAATCCCCAGGGTGGGTGTCCCCAGAACACATCACAGCCCCCACGGTGGACATCCCCAGAGTACATCACAGCCCCTGGGGTGGGAGTCCCAGAGAGTATAATGACCCCTAGGGTAGGCACCCACAGGGCATATCATGGCCCCTGGGTGACCCCGGGGGGCAGGGTAGGTGCTTCGTGACCCTGGTCCTGTGTCCAGCTCCCACCACTGTCCCATCCTGTAGCCATCTGGACACAGAGAATGGGCAGTGTTCCATGTGAACACCAGGGGGAAGAGCCAGCACCTGCAGAAAACGAAGGAAGCTCCTGGGAGCTGAAACAATGAGTCATTTGTATTTATCCAAAGAAAGGGCTCACGAAGTCTTAAGTTTAAACAGATAAAATCAGGCTGGGGTGGGGTGGGAGGAGCCTCCCGAGGCTCCTTGAGGAACTGCCTGGTACTGAGGTGGGGCAGGGACAAGGCGCAGGGGCTGGTCTCTCCTTTTGGAACATTCCGCCACATGTTCCTGGGGGTGGATGGCCCCCCTGCAGGCCGAGCTCCACCAGCACCACCCTGCCCACTCTTCTGTGAGCTGCCCCTGGCACGATGCTTCCAGAGAACCCAAGGACGTGCCCAGAGTGCTCCCAATGACCACTGAGGGGGCCCCACTGGGAGAGCTGCAAAACCATCAACGCCCCTTGGGTCAGTGGCTGCACACACCTTCAGTGCTGGAGTCATGCAGCCGGGCTGGTAGACAACGGTCTCTGAGTGCAGTCAATTCTGTCGGTGAGGGAAAGCACTGGAGGAGAGCCCTGCCCGAGGCGCAGCCACCGGGATGACGGGAAGGGACGTGTCACTCTGCCCAGCAGAGACAAAGGGTGTGTGGTGTCTCACAGAACCGTCTGGATTCACGCATCCCCACTGTACAGATGGGCACTGAGGCTAAGGAAGGTTAGAGACGTTGCCCAGTGTCACACAGCCGTTGAACGTGGGGTAAGGAAGAGGAACCGAGGCCAGAGCTGGCAACACTGAAGACCAGGCTGTTTGGACAGCGGCAGGCAACTCACCAAGGGCTCTGCTCCTGCAGAATCGGGGGACCCGCATTGCTGCCTACCTCGAAAGCCACAGAGAGGACTAGGCATAGGACAAAGAGCAGGAGGGGGGCGCTCAGCCAGTTTGCGTGACAGAGTGGGGGTGCTGGAAGGCACTGCAGGACGGGGGTGCTCACTCAGCGGGGCAGAGTTGGGGGTGCTCAGTCAGTGGGGCAGAGTGGAGGATGATGGAAGGCACCACAGGAGGTGGAGGCTCAGTCTGTCACTGGGGCAGAGTGGGGGGCACCGGAGGGCACTGCAGGAGGGGGGCACTCAGTCAGTGCAGGAAGTGGGTGCTTGGTCAGTCAGCAAGGCAGAGTGGGGGCGCCAGAAGGCACTGCAGGCCTGCGTCTGGGGCCTCTCAGCACCAGGACTGGGCTTTGTGAGCGAGGGCTGGGGTGCAAGGCCAGGGCCAAGGGGTCCTGCATGCGTGTTCCCTCGGGCGGGCTCCTGAAGCCGAGATGCACTCACTGCCTTACTTTGTGCGTCTTTTCCTCTGTGCATTATCCGATACCTGGCCTTGTGCACATTTAACTCAATCAGCAATGATCAGATAAAATTCCCTGTGAAGTTCTTTCCTTTTATTCTATCCTGGGGATGAACAGCAAAATATGTTCACCTATTAAAAATTCATAAAGACATCGAGTCCAGCAAGGGAATCTGTACCTGACAAGATGACTGTTGACCCAGGACGCCTCTGGTGTTGGGTGGAGACCATGCGCTTGGAGTCAGCTGGCCACTCCCAGACCTGCCCCTGGCCAGCTGCGAGGCCGCCGTTACACAGCCCTCTGCAGTTAGTTTCTGCATCTGTGAGACAGGCAGGAGGACAGCCCTGCCTCACAGGCTCTGGGGAGGGTTACCTGAGACCACACACACAGAGCCCCAGCACCCAGGAGGCACGAACTCAGTGTCACATTCTACACTGTAGGAGGCTGAGGCAGGCGGATCACTTGAGCCCAGGAGTTCAAGACCAGCCATGGGAATACAGTGAGACCTTATCTCTACAAAAATAAAAATAAAAATAAAAATAAAAAAAATTAGCTGGGAGTGGCGTCTCACATCTGTAATCCCAGCTACTCAGGGGCTGAGGTGGGAGGATGGCTTGAGCCTGGGAGGTGGAGGCTGCAGTGAGCTGAGATCAGGTCACCGCACTCTGGCCTGGGCAACAGAGCAAAACCCTGTTTCAAAAAAAAAAAAAAGGTCAGATTTAAAAATTGGCAAAAGGTCTCTATGCCTTACAAACAGCCCATGAGATTCCTCCCATCCTGTCACCCATGATGTATTAAGTAGGTCTTGACTGGAGTCCCTGCAGTCTGGTCCGGTCCCTTATACTAGCAGCTGTTTGATGGCCGGAAAGTTACTCACCCACCCAGTGCTTACAGGAGAAGGCTGGGCTCCAAGACCCAGAGGCCCCGACCTGGCTGATTCTATCCTGAAAGCATGAAATCCAGGTGCGTCAGCCACTCCAGGCAGGCTCTCCAGGAAACTCAGGGCGTGTGAGAGGAGAGCTTGGGAGCTAAGCTCTTCCTCGGCTGCTGGGACAGGCAGAGAGACCAGAAGCCTTGGGTCTACACTAGCAGGGAGCAGCTATTTTTAAGTGACATGTCTCAGCTATTTCGAGGTTTGGGTTTTTATTTTATTTATTTATTTCTGTACTTTCTCATGACTCACATATTTCAAAATGGTGTCTCTGGCATTTTTAATGCTGAAATCATCTCGACTCCACAGCTGGTCAAAAAAATAGTCTAAGAGCAAATCAGCTCTTTATCATCCAAATAAAAAAATGGACATATTAGAGTAATCAAACTGCCACTGCTGGAAGAAACCCATGTTAGTATTTTTCCATTAAAAATTTAACAGCATTCAGTTTAGGAAATACGTGTATATTTCCTCAAATATGCTCTGAAAGACTTTGAAGTGGTATGGCACAGATGCCACGAGGCGCCTCTGCAACAGGCTTCCCACATCACGGAGCAGGAAGCTCCTTGGCAGGCCGCCGAGGGGCCGAGTGTACCTGAGGCCCTGCACCCCACCTCACCCGCCTGCACCAGCTCTCCTGGGTGGGGGAGCCCACGCGAGCCTCTGACCCGCACCTCAGGCTGCCGCAGCCCACATTATTCACATTCAGTGGACAAAGGATCACTCAGCATTCAATCTCACCACTTCAAAAAATTACAGAGGGAAATGGCACACAGAAGTTGGAGTGCAATTCGCTGCAGTTCAGTTCTGAGGAAGACCCTCCCCTCAGCCAGGGCTGGCAGTGGCTGAGGGTCCCTTAGGCCTGACCAGCCCACGCGGGATGCGGGCTGCCCTCACCAGGGTGGCAGACCACAGTTCTCCAAGAGGTGGGTAAAATTCAAATGGCCAGCAGGTGGGACACTTGGAGGTGGCGTGAGGCTGTTCAGAGGCCCTAGGAATCGGGGAGGGAGGTTTATTCTCGGCCGCATGAGGAGGTGAAATCACAACCATGAGCAAGGGAGGTGGCCCTGGTGGCCTTATTGGCTGGAGGGCAGGTAAGTTTGGAGGCTTCTGAAGTGAGGGCAGGCACTGGGGCCTGAGGCTCAACCAACACTTAGAAAACTATGCGCTGAGGGCCCCCATCTGAATGCTTGGGACCAGAACAGTTTTGGATTTCAGATTTTTGCAGATTTTGGAACATCTTCAGGTAGAGAATGAGATATCTTGGGGATGAGAACCAAAGCTAAATACAAAATTTATTTGTGTTTCATACACACCTTGTATACATTATCTGAAAGTAACTTTATAAACTACTTGAAATAATTTCATGCATAAAACAAACTTTTAACTGAGCCTGGACTGCAAGCTGTCACACGAGGTCGGGTGTGGAAGTTTCCGCCTGTGACGTCATGGTGCGCCAACGCTGTTGGGTTGCGGGGCACTCGGGATTTCAGACTTCCAGATACTCAACCCGTGCTTGGATTCCTAGTTTACATGTCAGATATGCCTGCTGTTTCTTGGGTTGACATTCCTTTCTGCAAATGTCTGAAATTCCTAAGTTAAATTCTCCATGTACCATCCACATGCTACTAAGCTATTATGAAATTTCATATTTGAAGCCGGTCAGTTGCAAAAACAAGAATATTGCTTGTTTCAACTCAGGATGACAGGTTATTACCTAAAGGACACACAATAGCTATTATAATGCCTTCAAACTTAAAGAAAAGTTTGTATCCATGGGTGAAGAAAAGCAGTTAAACCAGAAACTTCCATAAAAACATGTCTAGTGGAACTGAGCTGATTGCCAAAGTGTGGGAGAAAAAGGGCCAGCAAAAAAATGGTTAATGATAGCCTTCCGAGGAGGAGGCCTCCCAGAACCCAGCCAGAGAGGAGCAGGCGGAGGGGCCTATAAAGCCTGGTGCCAAGGGGCGAGACTCACTGGCTCAGAGGAGGAGTCGCCTGCCAGCAGGGAAACTTCCCTCCAGCTCCCAGGGTGGGTCTCGTCCTCTCTCCAGCCCTGCTCAGGCATTTGGCAGGTTCAGGTCCGGCAGAAGCACAGCTCCTGCAGTCGGGCTCCAAGCGCACCTCCAGCCTGATGGGATCAACCGAGGAGGCTCCCAGGAGCACAGGAGGGGCTGCAACCCAGGTAGGACTCAGCCTCAGGCTCTGGGTTCTGGGGTCTGCCGGTACCGCCCCACTGACTAGGGACACAGAGGGTGGTACCACCCAGGCCACTGTCCTGTTATGGGATCAGCTGGATGCAGACATGCACTGACACCTCACCCTCTGGTGACAGCCGCACCCCACTTCCCAAACTCAAGGCACAGACCCCTCTCCCAGTGAGCTCCCGTGCTCTCAGCAGGGAGCTTTGCCCGCCTGGCCTCTCTGAACAGGTGCTGAAAGCAGGGCCCAGGATTCCATCACGTTCTATCCTAGCAAGAACGTGTCTCACTTCAGGAAAGTGAGGGTACCCGCTCTGCCCTGCACCGTGGCGCTCGGTCACCCTCACTAACCCCGCAGTCCTGGAAGCGCCACACACCTCTTTACAGATGCAGACTTAATACGGCTGCCTCCAGCGTGGCTTTATGTTTCTATGATAAGCAGAGGAAATCAGAAGTGAAGTCTCGGACTGTTCCTAACTCCATGGCCACCTCGGGGCCAGCGGGGAGCTGCACACTTGGCTCCTCTCACCCAGGAGCACATGAGACACTAGGACACATCAGAGAGACACCAGGTACCGTGTCTTCTCGGTGTCCACCAAGGACCAAAAGACTCAACGTACATGGGAAAGAAATGAATGGCCAATTTATTTTTCCCTCGGAGTTCATTTAACAAAGATAGGGAAGAAAAGAAACATATGTTAAGGGCTCTGTCCACCTTTAAAATGCCTGCCACGCTGCAGTCTAATACTTTCTGAAATTTCTACATGTAAAGAGCAAACCAAGTCCTCTGTGCCGTTTTTAAGAAATTAAATACAGAGGCTTTCAACCTTCCTGACCGAGCCTGAGAACAGAGGCATTTATGCTGCTCAATGCTATTACCTACTAAAGATGAATCAGGACTGCAAAACAACCAGTAAAATAAAATCTATCAGCCACAGCTAAGTGAAGGTTATCGGATACTTTTTTTTAAAATTGCATTTTAGGTTTTGCGGTACATGTGAAGAACACGCAAGATTGCTGCATAGGTACACACGTGGCAGTGTGATTTGCCGCCTTCCTCCCCATCACCTGTATCTGTCGGTTATTGAATACTTTTAAAATAACTGACACCCAGGCAGGGATTCATCTTGTCTTCCCCTACCCTCCTCTTCTGAGATGGGGATCTCACTCCAGTTGCTTAGGCTAGAGTGCTGTGGTGCAATCTCGGCTCACTGCAGCCTCAACCTGCCATGCTCAGGTGATCCTCCCACCTCAGCCTCCTGAGTAGCTGAGACTATAGGCGCGCACCGCTGTGCCCAGCTACTCTGTATTTTTAAAGTAGAGACAGGGTCTCGCCATGTTGCCCAGGCTGGTCTCAATCTCAAACACTTGGACTTGAGCAATCTTCCCATCTCATCCTCCTAAAGTGCTGGAATTACAGGCCAGCCTTTTTTTTTTTTTAGGTATTTTCAGGCAATAGGTCAATAAATCTCTAGTCTGGTTTTGCAGCACTTCAAAACAATAACTCCTGGCTGGGTGTGGTGGCTCATACCTGTAATCCCAGCACTGTGGAAGGCCGGGGCGGGCCAATCATTTGAGGGCAGCAGTTTGAGACCAACCCGGCCAACATGGCAAAACCTATCTCTACTAAAAACATAAAAAATTAGCCAGGTGCAGTGGCTCACACCTGTAATCCCAGCACTATGGGAGGCCAAGGTGGACAGATCACTAGAGGTCAGGAGCTTGAGACTGGCCTGGCCAATACGGTGAAACTCCATGTCTACTAAAAATATAAAAAATTAGCCAGGTGTGGTGGTGCACACCTGTAATCCCGGCTACTCGGGAGGCTGAGGCAGGAGAATCACTCTAATCTGTGAGGTGGAGGTTGCAGTGAGCCAAGACTGTGCCACTGTACTTCAGCCTGGGCGACAGTGAGACTCCATCTCAAAACAAACAAACAAACAAAAAAATCAAAACAATAACTCCTAATGATTTCAAAGGGTAAAATGAAAACTCCCAAAGGAAACACAACTCAAACCCATTTTGAAGTGTTGGCTTCCTCCAGGGCACCAGCGCCATCTGAGCCGGGTAATTCTTTGCTGGGCTCGGACACCTGTCCTATGCACTGTAGGGAGCTGAGTGGCTGCCCTGGCCCCACCAGCATGCCCCTGGCTGCAACAGCCCCCACACCCCCAGAGACCACCAGTGTCCGCAGGCTAAGAACCCCCGGGGCCTGCAGCATAGAGAATTTCCAAGAGCACAGTGAGACAGGGCGAGTGACGGGACCCTCCCCACCCACAGCAGAGCCAGGGCACCGCCGCAGAGACAGCCCGCTCCTCTCCCTGCAGAAGCAGAGCTTGGGAGGAGGGAGTCTCTCCCTAGAGTTTCTTCCTAGGTTACAAACAGCGCTGCAAAATATATTAGGTTTTACAATAATATGTTAAAACGCGGAATAAAACTTAAATATTTCCCAAAACAATGACCCCTTTCATTCTATGTTACAGAAGTAAGTTTCATTTCTGGTATATGAACATAGAACCAACATGAGCAAACCGCTGAATTTCTGTGATCTATTTTATTGTAAGAGAAGATTCTGCTCCAATTTCCAGCTTTCCATACCCACTCTCTTTCAAGAACACTGGGCTTTCCCTTCCGACCTTACTTCTTGCTCCATGAGCTGCTGAAATGCATTTTCCCCTCTCCTTACAAACACTGTTTTCCTGGGGCTGCTGTGCCCACACCCCTGTTGCTTCCTGGGCCCGCTCTGTGGCTATAAAGGGAAAGAAAACCCCTGCCTGTGGGGGTGACTCACATCCAGCCTCCAGCTGCAGCTAAGTGGCCATGGGACCTGTAGGAAAAAAGGCTGCATACTTCCCACAGGTGACTCTTCCACCCCAGCTCAACCACAGCCACCTCCTGAGCTCACAAAGCTGAAGTTCTGGCCCTCCCCAGGCTCCTGATATACCCAGTCTCCACGGACACCCGGCCAGGGGCGCCGGACTTTGTCCCAAAGCTGCGGCCACTCAATGAGACTTAGTCCTCTTCTGTTGCTTCTCCAGGTACCCAGAAAGTGAGCAGCTCCATGCAGGACTGCACACGTTGGCCAACACCCGAAGGGATGCCCACTGAATGAGCACAAGAGGCGTGCCATGCCAGCGGGCAGAGCATCTGTTTTTCCCACTCTCTGCAATTAACAAACCCAACCCAAACTGCCACAGGTGTTCCTTGTGGGGAGTTTCCTGTCTTACAAATGCCGGGCTCACTTCGAGGAGAGTCACGTTTCTTTCTAAAGATGGATTCGTTGTTTGAAACAGATCTCTGGGAGCCTTTCGGCAAATCTTGAAAGCTGCACGGCGCAGACATGGATGTGACTTCCCAAGCCCGGGGCATGGGCCTGGAGATGTACCCAGGCACCGCGCAGCCAGCAGCCCCGAATAGCACCTCCCCTGAGCTCAACCTGTCCCACCCGCTCCTAGGCACTGCCCTGACAAATGGGACGGGCGAGCTCTCAGAGCACCAGCAGTATGTGATCGGCCTCTTCCTCTCGTGCCTCTACACCATCTTCCTCTTCCCCATCGGCTTTGTGGGCAACATCCTGATCCTGGTGGTGAACATCAGCTTCCGCGAGAAGATGACCATCCCCGACCTGTACTTCATCAACTTGGCGGTGGCGGACCTCATCCTGGTGGCCGACTCCCTGATCGAGGTCTTCAACCTGCACGAGCAGTACTACGACATCGCCGTCCTGTGCACCTTCATGTCACTCTTCCTGCAAGTCAACATGTACAGCAGTGTCTTCTTCCTCACCTGGATGAGTTTCGACCGCTACCTTGCCCTGGCCAGGGCCATGCGCTGCAGCCTGTTCCGTACCAAGCACCACGCGCGGCTAAGCTGCGGCCTGATCTGGATGGTGTCCGTGTCGGCCACGCTGGTGCCTTTCACCGCCGTGCACCTGCAGCACACTGACGAGGCCTGCTTCTGTTTCGCGGATGTCCGGGAGGTGCAGTGGCTGGAGGTCACACTGGGCTTCATTGTGCCCTTCGCCATCATTGGTCTCTGCTACTCCCTCATCGTCCGGGTGCTGGTCCGGGCGCACCGGCACCGTGGGCTGCGGCCGCGGCGGCAGAAGGCGCTCCGCATGATCCTGGCGGTGGTGCTGGTCTTCTTCGTCTGCTGGCTGCCAGAGAACGTCTTCATCAGCGTGCACCTCCTGCAACGGACACAGCCCGGGGCCGCTCCCTGCAAGCAGTCTTTCCGCCACGCCCACCCGCTCACCGGCCACATCGTCAACCTGGCGGCGTTCTCCAACAGCTGCCTCAACCCCCTCATCTACAGCTTTCTCGGGGAAACCTTTAGGGACAAGCTGAGGCTGTACATTGAGCAGAAAACAAACTTGCCGGCCCTGAACCGCTTCTGCCACGCCGCCCTGAAGGCCGTCATTCCGGATAGCACCGAGCAGTCGGATGTGAGGTTCAGCAGTGCCGTGTAGCCAGCCTCAGCCGCAGAGGAGCAGCGGGGTGTGACTCTCAGGAGCTGCACGCACCTGGGTAGACAGAAGGCACAGCCACGTCCTGTGGCCAGATGTGGCTACCGGCTCCTTGGGGCCTCGAGAGGGTCATAGTCAGATGTGGCTACCGGCTTCTTGGGACCTCGGGACGGTCACACTTGCCTGGTCCCCCTGAGGCTGCTGAGGAAACCTCAAGACAGGTCCTTCTTGATTTTGCAGTGCTCACACAGAATTGCTACAGTCAAAAAACGCTCGCCCTGCAGGGTCCAAAGGCCAGCAGTGACTAGTCTGTTGCCCAGCTCCTCCCTGCACAACCTGCCTGCCGCCACAGGAAGTGATTCTGACACCTTTGACCACGAAAGCCACACAGAGAGGCTGCTGTGGATGAAGTAACTTAGTGACACGGTGACCCTAAAGCAAGTCTCCCACTGTCGGAGAGCTGACGCTGGAGATACAAGGCACTGGCCAGGCTGAGCTACACGCCGCCGTGTGCCCTCCGCGCCTGCGGTCTGGAATGCACGAGGTGCGAGCTAGCTAGCTAGTGCACCACTGAGCTAAGGAGGGAAAGCGAACACACTGCTCTGGTGCACACTTGAGCGTCCTCCATCTTCCAGGACAGCAGCAACGGCGCTGCGCGGCCTTGCCATGCCCACAAGGAGCACCAGGAGTTCGGCCCGTAGCAGCAGGGAGGCCCCTCTGCCAAGTGCCCGCTGCGTCCTCCATGTTCCAGGACAGCAGCAGCGGTGCTGCGTGGCCTCGCCAGGCCTGCAGGAAGCACTGGGCGCTCGGCCCGTGGCAGCAGGAAGGCCCCTCTGCCGAGTGCCCGCCACCTCTCCAAGGCATTCAGCCGCTGCTTGTTTACATCATCATGGCAACCGCACTCACATGGACAGAGACTGTGTGAGCGGCCGTGTGGGTTAAAGGGGTGCCAGGACAATGAAATACTCCAGCAAGTGTGGCTGACAAATTTGCTTTTGCAGAAATAACAGTGGGGACAACTGCAGTGATGATGTAAAAACCTTCCCATAAAATGTAAGAAAAGTTGATGAGGCTGGGGCTGCTCGGCCTTTGTCAATAAAACAGTCATGTGTGGATTCTTCCAGAGGCTCTGTCTTGGGGGTCCGCCAAGTGGGGTGAGATGTGGGGTGGGCATGGGGCTCTCGGGAGCTCCCGTACTAGAATCCCTCCCCGCTCACGGAAAACACAGCCCTCTCATGCTGCCCTGAAAATTCTCACAAGGCCAGCCTCTGGGTCTGGCCGACTGGACCTAACCTAGCATTTCTAGGCTGTGCAGAAAGCCATGTCCTGACCCTTCTGCTGCCATTGCTTGGGCACCATGACGAGCCCCACATGAATGCAGGAGACAGGCCTCAGCCTTTCCTATGTCTCAGCAGCCTGTGCGACATAAGCTGCCTTTCTAGAAGGCTCTCGGCTGCATGTGAGGCCAAAGTGCTCTGTGGTTCCCAGGCGCTCCAGGAGCGGCCAGCTGGGAAGGTTCCTGCTCCTCCTCCCACCGCTGGGGCCTGATCCTGGCACTGCTCCCCTCCCTCCTGCCTCACCCACCTGGCAGCAGGCGGTCCCTGATGTTACCAAGGTGTGCCTGAACCAGGGCCTGCTGCTCAGTCTGCACAGAAACCCATGCAGGGAGTGGGAGGAAACCTCACGAGCGGTCCTCCCAACAGAGGGCCGGGATTGAACGCCTGCGCTCTACCCCTTCACTCCACCTGTTTGCGGTTCCATTCCGTTTAAAGCCATGATACTGTTTTTTTATTTGCGATGATGTAAAGTTTGACTTGCAAATACACTGAAAAGAAAAGGCAAGCCAATTTAAAGAAAACATCTGCAAAGGGAGCAGGCGGTTCACAGATATGGCACACCCAAAGCCTAAACGCAGCCGCACAGCGAGCCCCCAGCTCTCTCTCCTCCCGTCTGTGGGACATGACGAAGCCACACAGTGAGTCCAGGAAACTCTCGCTCTCCTCCTGTCTGTGGGACATAAGGCAGGGGAAACTCTGTCTCTCTCTCTCTCCTGTCTGTGGGACATGAGGGAACCACACAGTGAGCCCAGGAAACCCTCTCTCTCCTCCCCTCCGTGGGACATGAGAATTTGGGTCTCTCAGCCGGGAAGAGCCTGTATTCTCCATGACCTCAGCACTGTGGTGCCAGGATCCTCTCAGGAAGAGGGCGCTCGGCCCAGACCGTGGCCTGCAGGCACAGCATCTGCCCACTTCCCTCAGGGTTGCCTTCCCCACAAACACCCCGCAGGGAGGCCTGGGAACAGGACAGCTCCCACACACCAGTAGGTCTCAAGAAAGTGGAGATTGCTATGGGGTGGCCAAGCCAGAAGCCAGGCTCACGCGTGGCACAGTCCTGCAGAACACTGTGGGTGTCTTCAGCCATAACTCAGGCCCGGAGCACCCTTCCCTCTGCCCCCCAAGAGGCTGCCCTGCGTCACCCCATCTAAAAGGACACAGGCACCACCCTGACGGCTGCGCTCCAGAGCTCCTGCCAAGCTTCAAGGGCGGGATTTGCCCTCCTCCCAGGGATGTCCTTACTGCAATGCCCAGGACAGCCAGGCAGCAGCCCCCAGGAAACCTCCGCCAGGGCGCTGTCTTTACAAGGCGCGTGATGCACGTGAGTCCCCCTTTTGACCTCAGTGTTGTTGATAGGGAAAGACCATCCAAGTCCCAGAAGGCAGGCGGGACGGGTACTCCACCACCAGGCTCTCCCCACACACAGTCCCATCCACACAGCATGAACACGGCGAGGGCAGACGCTTTACAACATGCAGAGACTAGAGACCCAGCGTTTCTGACTTCCAGCTCTCATGGACGGCTGTGTGGAGAGCAACACAGAGTGTGGTCTGGTCCCTGCTCATCACAGCAGCCCCACAGGGTGAGCATGTCCCCGCCATGCCAATGAGGTACCAGAAGGTCGATCACTGCTCGAAACCTTAAATGGTGGGTGACACAGCCAGGAATCCAGCCACGTTCTCCTGGCCCAGAGCCTACGGTCCTGCCCCGTCTGTAGCACTCAGCAAACCCTGGCGCCTAGCTGGCAAAAGCACGCCATGCAGACATCATATGGAGCCGGATCCACAGGCATCAAGGGGTCACCCAAGGTCACCAGCCCATCTTCCTCTAAAGCCCGCTATTCGGAAAGTGCAGGGACGGTGGGGGAGGTTTCCCTAAGGAGATCTGGGTGGGATGCATCTGAACAGAGCCCCAGGGGCAGGACTCCACTCATTTCTCCATGTCAACACACCACGGGGGACAGTGCGGGCTGTGTGGTATCCTTCCCTCCCTGCTGCAGACATGGCTTCCATGAGGGCCCTGCTCTATCTCTGGGACAGAACAAACCTGCTCCTTCCCTTCCACAGCAGACACTGCTGTGAGTGAGTGGAAGCGACAGGCTGCCCCACTGCGCCACCTCCCCTCCACTGGGGCTCTTCCGAGGATTTGCCCCGAGGCTTAGGGCAGACTGAGCTGACACACTGCCATCTAGCCACCGGAAGCAGACTCTCGACTGCGAAGCTGGTGGCAGCACCGCTCTGAGGCTAGTCACAGGAGCGACACGCACCCAGCAGCCACGCCATGGGGCTGCAGTAAGGGCAGGTGCAAGGTTGAGTGAAAGGCCCCCACACGGTAGAGCCAGCCTGGGACCTGGGGCCTTGGAGTCCCTGACCCTGAGATCCGAGAGCTGGGAGCTATGGGACAGGGATCAGCAGGCCAGGCAGGGACTCTGCGGGTGCCGCCGGACCGGTCACACACGCCCTTCTCCAGCGCTTGTCTGGGAGCCAGGGCAAATGTAATTATTTTTGGCAGGCGCACAGTAAGATAAAATCAAGGCGTCTTAACTGCTCTGTTGTTTCCTGGTAACCCAACTCTCCTATACATAAGTGCTTTTTAAACCCCATAAAGAGCTCCAGAGTATGTAACTGCAAGCATGGGAAAAACCCCTGTGTTGGCGGTGAACATGACTTCATCGCTCTTTGTGCTTAATAATTAACTCTTGACCTCATGGGAGTGCACAGCCTACCCGCCCTTCCCAGGCCCTGCATTGCCCACTCAGTGAGAAACGGCAGCAGTGGGGTCACTAACGCTCATGCGCCCACTCACCTGCAGTCTTGGGGGGCGGGTGGGGCAGAGAACTACAAATAAACCTCCTTAGGAGGGTGTTTCTGCAGTGGTATGGGAAGCCATTCTGAGGCCATCCTAGACATTCGTAAACTGGGCATACGAGGAAATGCGTGGAGCCTCCTGAAGCTGGGGCTCTCCTGGCAGAGGACGGAGACAGGGCAGGCGAGGGGAGCCGGTGGGAACGATCAGGGCTGAGGGCAAGGCTTAACCCAGACATCTAAAGTAAGCAGCGCACAGACTATGCAAGTACAGGCACATGTCTGTGTGTGCACACCTCCAACGGTGTGCATGTGTTTGAACACACACAGACACACACTCACCTGTTCCAAGCTCCATCGCTGTGGCCCACCCGCACCTGGCCTGGACCCAAACACCGCCATCCTCCAGAAGAGCCCTGGGCTCTGGGAGAAATGGCTGATTTGGGCCGGGGCAGGGACAGACAAGATGAGCCCGGGACACATAGTTCTGACAGAATCAAGAAAGGCTCCAACATGTCAGGCGACACCTGAAGGACACAGGAGACAGTGAGCAGGGCTCCCCTCACCAAAGCTGCGACAATGTGAGCAGTAAGATGAGTAAGAAGAGACAATCGTGATAGACCATGAAAATCAGAAGTCCACAAGTCCACTCCAAAAATGAACAGACCTAAATGTCATTTAAATAAAATGAACCAATGCATGAATGGGAAGATTCTCGCTTCTAACAAAGTGCTCACTGGTAAAGGAGCTGGAAAAGCATCACTGTGCAGTTTTCGGAGGCAGACTGTTGCTGGTAAGAGTTACAAACGGAAGGCGAATCTCAGAGGGCAGTGAGACACAGGGGACTGCAGAGTCCCCATCCCCCACAGTTGGCTCATTAGTGTTTGGGGAAAGGTCACCACATAGCAGACACAGGACAGCCCCTTGCTGGATGATCACATGGGCAGCGCCAACAAGGAGGCCAGTCCAGTTTTAACACCCTAAGAAGGGAGCGTAACATGCTGTAATCTAGGAATACACAGCCTGAGTTTAATCAGAGGGAATGTCAGATAAGCAGAAAATGAGGACAGGGAGCCAAGATGCATAAAAAACGTGTATGCTGAGCCAGACGCAGTGGCTCATGGGCGGATCACGAGGTCAGGAGATCGAGATGATCCTGACCAACATGGAGAAACTCTGTCTCTACTAAAATACAAAAAATTAGCAGGTCATGGTGGTACGTGCCTGTAATCCCAGCTACTCAGGAGGCTGAGGCGGGGGAATTGCTTGAACCTGGGAGGTGGAGGTTGCAATGAACTGAGATCACACCACTGCATTCCAGCCTGGCAACAGAGCAAGACTGTCAAAAAAAAAAGTACACGTTATGAGACAAAGGCAGAGCAGTCGTCCCCCATTCAGAAAGAGAAAAAAGCTATAGCAATTTGATGCAACACAGACCCTAGACGTGATGCTGTACCAGAAGAAAAAGTGTTGTGAAGGATTTTATGGGCTCAGTTGACAA